ATGTATGATGCGTTTGCGAGTTAGGTATCCCCGGAGGTCCTCTGTGGGCGGTTGGTGACAACCCCCAGCATCAGAAGGATCGCTTGGGTGATTGCACGAGAGAGCTTTGGGTGTACCCTCTGGTGCACGCTGAGTGGAGCGTTTTGGTGATGGAATTAGGCAATCTCGCCTTGACGGGCGAGTTTTCGTGTTCGGGTGAATTCCAGCATGTAGGCGAGTTTCAACCCTTCGCTCAAACGGGCGGGTTCACGAGGTGTTGCCTACTTCTTTGCCTTTACGTTTATCAGCCAAAAGGTTATGGTGAGGCTCACCAGCCCTCGGGGATTCGCCTATTCGGGTAGGCTCGCTTGCTCGGGGTGGTTTATTCGAATCAGGGATGTGACCTGAGAAGCGAAGTCCACCTGAGCAGGTGGCCCCGTCCTTCTTGGTTGGCGCTCCCAATTTGGAGAGCCTCCCGGCATTGGGCGAGCTGTCCTCTCGTCTGACATTTCTTGAGCCTGTATAATAATTCAGGCCGTTGTATGAGACGAGGGCTCGGCCCCCTTTTTCTGCTGGCTAGCTCTTCTAGCGAGGAGAGCATCTGCGCGGGCTGTGGCAGTGTAGTCTGTGCCGGAATGAACCGGCGTTTCTTCCGGGACGGGTGCCCGGGAAGGCCACTTGGCGACCCATCTGGCAGGCTCTCGTCCTGTGTTCTCGATCTCTGGCTTGGCCTTGATCGATTTTTAGGGAGCGGGTTCCCCCGACGAGACTCGTGTAGAACCCTTATGTGCGGAGGCTTTGGCCGTTTGAGGTCGGCCTTGGCGCATGACTCTGTGGCGTTTGCGGGACGCATCGCCACCAGAGGAGGAAGAAGACAAGTACTCTTCATACTTGGCTTGGTCGAACTCGATCTCTAGGGACTCCACCGTCGTCCCAGCAGCGACTTCGTCGAACTGAGCTACCACCATTTCGGTTGAAGAAACAGCTTCTCCCACTGTGGTCGCCATCTTCTGTAGGTGTAAATTTTGATCTCCCAAAAAAAATAGGGAACTTCGTTTGTATTAATAAGAAGGCTTATTACAAACTAATCAATCGAAATTACAACAGAAGCAGAGGGAAGGCCCTCCTTGTTTAGTGTGGGGACTTTTCGGTAGCTACAGGATGCTTCGCTTGATGCTCGTGCCGAGTCTGCTTCCCTTGGACCATTCGACCGAGGTCGCTGGAGAGCTTCAGTACACAGTAGAAACTCTGTTCGATGGAGTTCGGGTCTTCTAGTTCACCGGCGATCAGGGCCCAGAACTAGGAAGTGGCGCTGTAATGCAAAAGTGATGCAGAGAGCTGGCCGTCGATGCTTTTTCCTAAGTTTATCGACCTCCTCTGAAGGTTGTTGGCAGAGGCTCTTAAATAAAAGAGAGGCAGCTTGGCTGCTCCTTGAATTATAGGATGTGACCATACATTGTTCAGAGATATCATGCTGTTCACCTGTACTATGAGCGGTCATTCGAGGAGTCGTGTTTGGCATCACGTCAAGTAGGAGCGGGAAAGCCCCTCCTTGTATGCGTGACAACGGTCGTCAGATACTCGAGTGGATCTGACCAACTCACCGAGCGCCGGCGGCCCTCGCCCTTCGCTTGGACAAGTGAGGTAAGTTGCATTTATGAGGGTGCAGGTTGATTTGGCGTCTGTCCGATCACTTGTACTGTGTACTGTGAGCGGCCATTCGGTGGGCCTGGGGTACCGCATCTTCTCCCTTCAGGTCGAGAGAGGTGGGGAAGCGGGTTCCCAGTACTCGAGTGAGCTTGGACAGCTTGCCGAATGTCGACGGATCCAGCTCTCGACTCGGACAGACGAGGGGAGCTGCATTTATGAGTGCCCAGGTTGATTCGACACCTGTCCGCTCACTCGACGGGCCTAGAATACTATGCTCTCTCCCTTCGGGTCGAGAGAGAGGTGGGAAAGCCCGCCTTAGCACGTGGGGTAGCAGATACCTAGCTATACTAGCGGCCTTGAGGTTTGCTGGCGAATTCGACTACAGACTCGGTCAGGCGAGTTGTGATAAAAGGTGAATTCCCGTGGCTTGGGTGACTTCTCCTTGCAGGCGAATTTCTCGCAAGCTCACGGAGGTATTTTTACCGTCTACAGCTAGCCCGCCTAGAGCGTTGGTTTTGACAGAATGGGAGATGTTTCGGTCAGGGCGAATCCCACCCGCTAGTGAGAGTTCTCCTGATTTGGTGATCTCCTCAACCCTCGGAGGGTCGAGTCTCCGCCTCGCATCGTTCAGACCTAAATAATACCTCAGGCTGGCATACGAGGCGAAGGTTTGAGCCTTCCATCGGGCCAGGAGCTGTCATCGCCGCTGTCAGGCTCTTCTTGAAAGAGGAGCGTCTGGGCGGATCGTGTCGACCCGGTTCGCGCCAGAGTGAACCTCTATTTCCTCTGGTGCGAAGATTTGTGAGGGTCATTTGGCGACCCATTTGGCGATATTCCGCCTAGCGTTGCCGACCTTTGGTTTGGCCGTGATCAATTTTGGGGATGTCTGATTCCCTGCCATGACTCGGATGGCATCCTCAAGCGCGGGGGTCTTGGCCATTTGAGGTCGAACCCTGCACACGACTCGGTGGCGTTTGTGGGACGCATCACTACCAGAGAAGGAGGACAAGTACTCTTCATACTTGGCCTGGTTGAACTCAATTTCTAGGGACTCCACTGTTGTATCGACCGGAACCTCATCGAACTGAGCTACCACTATTTCGGTTAAAGAAATAGTTTCTCCCATTGTGGTCGCCATCTTATGTAGGTGTAAATTTTGATCTCCCAAAACAGGGATTTCGTTTGTATTGATAAGAATAGCTTATTAGAAACTAATGAATCGAAATTATAATAGAAGAGGAGGGAAGGCCCTCCTTGTTTAACGTGGGGACTTTGGTAGCTATAGGATGCCTCGCTCGATTCTTACACCGAGTCTGCTTCCCTTGGACGATTCGACTGAGGTTGCTGGTGAGCTTCAGTACACAGTAGAAGCTCGTGCTAGCCGAGTTTGAGTTTCCGAGTTCGATAGCGATCAGGGCCCGAAGCTAGGAGGAGATGCTACAGTGCAAAGGTTATGCAAAGAGCTTGTCGTCAACTCCTTTTAGGGTTGAGAGCTGTGGTTCAGCTGATTGATCAATTAACTATGAGTTAATCAAACTTCTACTCTTACTGAACTGCTGGC